AGCTTCTCCGGTTTCACGACGATACATTTCACCGTACAGGTAAAAACAGCTTCTCCGGTTTCACGACGATACATTTCACCGTACAAGTATTAACAGCTTCTCCAAACTTACCGATACATTTCACCGTACAGGTAACAACAGCTTCTCCAAACTTACAGATACATTTCACCGTACAGGTAACAACAGCTTCTCCAAACTTACCAATACATTTCACCGTACAGGTAACAACAGCTTCTCCAAACTTACCAATACATTTCACCGTACAGGTAACAACAGCTTCTCCTTTACTGCTGGTAGCCTTACATGTGTAGACCCCACTGTCTTCTGGATAGACACCCAGAATATCCAGAGCAACGTAATCAAACTCGTGAGCAGGTCTGAATCTGTGACCTACGTAAATGATAAATTTTATTTATTTTTTACAACTTTGTTATACGTTACAAGAGCGAACTCAATTTTCTAGCGAACGACCTAAAAGTATGGTTTTGTTTATTTTAAGTTAAACAAAAAGCTACACAATGGGCTATCTGTGCTCTGCCAACCAACGTTATCGAAATCCGGTTTCTAGCGTTGTAAAGTCCGCAGACATACCGCTGTGGCACTGGGAGGCTAAGAGTATTGAATACGAACTTTTACTTCTGTGCATGTAGGGTATCTCTCTACACTTATGACATAACTAATGTACGAATAATGTTAATTGTAATAATGTATGATATATGTATAATTTACGACAACAATTGAAAATTATAACATTTACAAAATACACCATACGCAATTACAAAATCGCAGCTCATTTTTATGAAATGCCCTGTAGATAATAGTAAAATCCCCATTACGTAATCATAAAATGGCACAAAATTACGAAATGCCCTTACGTATATAAAAACATCCGTAGATAATTATAAAATGTTCATATATAGTTACAAATGCGGTTACAATAAAAAATGACACTAACACAATATCTACGCGTAATAGGTGGACTTGTGAAAAAAAATTATTACTTAGAAAACTTACAATTTTTTATTAACCTCGAATATTCAACGAAATCTTTTTGTGTAATGCTTTAATTTTTTCATCATAATCTCTCGTTTTGAAAAATGTTTTCGTAAAACTAATTCGAAACCTACAAAACAATTGTTACAAAATGACTAACGACTCTGAGCCTGTAACATGTTTTCAGTTTACTTAGCTTAAACAGCTATAAATAAAGAATAAATACTATAGTAGTGCTTATTCTGTGCATGTCACGTTTCGTGTTTATCAACAAAGGCATATATATACTGAAATCGAGTACTTTAGAAATTTCTAGAACCCCCTCCCTCGCACTATCAAAAATCTAAGCACAGAAATACTTTGCTCAGTTAACTGTTAAAGAATCTTTAAAGGATAGCGATGTTATGGTATCTACTGCACAGATAAATAACTATAACACAAACATAAATATATTCGTGATAAAATAAGGTATAAGAATATGTTGATTTCTGTTATACATAGTTCAAGATTATCTTGGCAACTATGATAAAGACTACATTATCTAGCCTGATGGAGATAAAGACTACATTAAGTCTTTATCTCCATCAGGCTAGATATGCAGTCTTTATCTCCATCAGGCTAGATAATGTAGTCTTTATCTCCATCAGGCTAGATATGTAGTCTTTATCTCCATCAGGCTAGAGCATATCGAGCCTGATGGAGATAAAGACTACAATATATAGCCTGACGGAGATAAAGGCTACACATCTAGCCTGACGGAGATAAAGATTACATATCTAGCCTGATGGAGATAAAGACTACATTATCTAGCCTGATGGAGATAAAGACTACATTATCTAGCCTGATGGAGATAAAGACTACATATCTAGCCTGATGGAGATAAAGACTACATATCTAGCCTGATGGAGATAAAGACTACATAGCTAGCCTGATGGAGATAAATACTACATATCTAGCCTGACGGAGATAAAGACTACATATCTAGCCTGATGGAGATAAAGACTACATACCTATTTTGATGGGCACATTGTTGACAAACCATTCAACCTTCATGGTTGGATCTCCGATCGGTAACAGCTTACACTCAAGATGAATGTTGTTTCCCTCTACGGTGTCAATATTGCGTAAAGACTTAGTGAAAGTTGGTTTCTGAGTGATGATTGTTTCTTCTTGAACAGATTTCTGGTATCGACTTGTGTCTTCTAACTGCCTTATCTTCTGAAGACCTTCTGGAAACATGGTGTCTGAGATAACAGCAGATTTACCTAAAAATAACACATGAGAGAGTATGGAAATTGAACAACTGTATTACGTGTATAACACATGAGATAGTATGGAAACTGAACAACTGTGTTACGTGTATAAAATAATTAATGACAATGGAAACATGGTGTCTGAGATAACAGCAGATTTACCTAAAAATAACACATGAGATAGTATGGAAACTGAACAACTGTGTTACGTGTATAACACATGAGATAGTATGGAAACTGAACAACTGTGTTACGTGTATAACACATGAGATAGTATGAAAACTGAACAA